TGTAGGTGAAACATTTTCAAGATCTGTCACAAGATCTGCGGGATTTGTGGGTTTGGCAGACGTAGGAGAAACAGCTGTAGGAGATGAGACTTTCGAGGCAGACTCGTTTACTTGCTCCTGAAGCGCGAGGTTTGAGCAGAAGGGATTAAGCACAGAAGCATGCAGAACTAAGCGTTGGAAGGAATGTGCAGTAGAGGCGTGATGGCCTAGTAGTGCGCCTATGTCACGAAAACTTCCAAATTCCTCACCTTTTCCATCGACGTCAACACATATTTGGGAATTCTGCTCGAAGAGCGTGAAGTCGGCTGTTCCGAGGAAGCATCAGAGAATGAGCAAAATTTCTCTTCCATGGGGGAAGAGCTCTGTAAGCTGAACTGTCATGGCCGGAACCCTTTGGTAATAGTTCTTAAATAGAAACAACCTTCTCTTTCACCGCTGAGATCGGAATCATTGTGATATGCTGAGAAGGTAGTGCTGTAGTTGGCAGTGGTTGGGGTTGAGCCGGTGTAGTGGGTGTAATTCTAAAGTCATATAATTTTTATTTTTTAAATGTAATCTTCAACGGTTGGGTCCAGTAACAATAACTGACTTGTTGTCGATGGAGAAGGGATTTGTGTAAAGCGAAGGCTGAGTAATTCGTGATGCTGCTACTGGAGTCTAAAAACGTTGTTGTATGGTATTTATGTCCTATTAAAGCCTGAAGATTACATCTATGCCAAAGACACTCCGTTTTTCAAATTAAATTCCCTCGATTAATGTAGCAATAAATTTTGGAATGAAAAATAGCTCAAGTGATGCTATGCTTTGCACTAACCGTAACCACCGGAGTTGGAGGAGCTGTTACGATCGTTGCTGCTTTAGGATGGTTTAATTCATCTCCTACTGTAAGATGGCTGACTAACTGTTCTGCCACGGCAACGGATGAGCTCCGAGGCTTTGTTGTAACAGGCTTAAGAAAATGTGATGAGAATATTGCATCTTCTGCAAGTTGGTATATTACTTTTACTTTATCACTTACTGCTTCTCTGGAAGGATCTGATTTACGCTGCTGAGCATGGCTTTGTCGAGGTCCATATCGTTGGCTCGGCCTTCTTTCAAATGTCGCTGTTGCTCTTCGCGATAAACGTGCACCATCCTTGTGAACTGCTTCATACTCAGTGCGTCCCCTGTGGCAAGTGATTTTGATCAAACCAATGAACATATGCATGATGGCACTAGTTACCGATACTTGAAGGTGCTTCCTAGCCGGAACAGCTGTGATCGGGAATGCTTCAC